AGTGCATGAAGACGCGGCTCACTGTTGCTGTCCAGCTGAATGATGCACGTGAGCCAGAGCTGCTGGTTGTAGTTGGACAGCGGCTGAGATCTGAGGTCGAAAGGGCCAGTCTGAAGACAAAACCGCTCACATTTAACCCCAAAATACACTTACACTAACCCTCAAAAGCTTGGAATAATAGAGACGCTTAAATGTTTCTGAAAGAAGTGTCTTCTGCTCACCAAGACTGTATTTATCTGATAAAAAATACAATAAAAATATGAAATATTCTTCATCTGTGAATCCTGAAAAATACACTATGAAGGTTTCCACAAAAATATTGTGCAGCACAACAGTTTTCAACATTGATAATAATCAGAAATGTTTCTAATAATCAGCATATTATTATGATTTCTGAAGATCATGTGACACTGAAGACTGGAGTAATGATGCTGAAAATACAGCTGCGTATCACAGAAATAAATGAGTTTAACAGATATTCTAAAAGAAAACAGCTGTTTTAGATTCTAATAATATTTCACTGTTTTTACTGTATTTATGATCAAATAAATGCAGCACTGGTGAGCAGGGGACACAAAATAAATAAATATTTAGGAGCAAATCTGCAGTTGATCGCACGACTCTCACCTTTGATCCATTGGCGCTGACGCTTAAACCGTTGTAATAATTCTCACTGATGATCTTCGGTCCTGCAGGAGAGATGTTTATCAGTCAGTTCAGCTGCACATCTCATATAATAATGCCTTGCTTTTGTGTGTTTCAGTCCTGCCAGGATAGAAATCAGGCACTGTGTGCCTTTCTCTGAGAATGCACTCGTTTAAAGTTACTGAAACACAGCGCTCAGTCCGCTAGGATTCGATCTAGTCTGGATTTTAAATATGTGTATATATATATATATATACATATTTAAATCTACAACAGATGCACACTGCATGTATAGATGTATGACAAGTAAGTGACTCTGACTAGACATAAAGTATAAAGTTTCATGATCTGGAGACTTGTAATATTCATTAAAAATAAACTGTTTAGTAACTTCATCATAACGGAAGATTTAAATGGTAGATGTGTTCAAATAAACAGGCATTTTTACCTTTTAAGTGCACTCACTGAACAAGAGTTGTGAAATGACACACTAGGTCTCTTGAGGGTCTCGAATGAAACGTTAAGAGCACGTCAGCGAGCAGGTGAATGCTGGGAAAGCAGAGCTCTTACCTGACACACCAATGAGTGTGGAGACGCCAAAGCAGAAGAAGAAAACCATGAACACCAGAACGAAGTGCCTCTTAGAGAGAGTGTAGAGACGCATGGGGGCCAACCTGCAGCACACACACACACACGCACACACACGCACACACACACGCACACACACACACGCACACACACACGTGTCACGAGTCCACATCACACGCAATACTGATTCATATCCACAGCACAATAACAGTTACAAAAGTTTTTCAACGGTTACACATACATGTTTAATTCATATATATAGATGAATATAGATAGATATAATGTTGCAATTTATAAAAATATTTTTATTTTTAAAATATATTTTAAAACATTATTTTAAAACTTTGTTTATTTAAACGGGGAGTCATCTCAATTATTACCAGTAAAGTATGGAGTGCCACAAGGATCTGTCCTGGGTCCTCTGCTATTTTTAATATACATGTTGCCCCTTGGTAATATTATTAGAAAATACGGGATAGGCCTGGGCCTCGATATTTATCGACGGTACACCTTCTTCGATAACGATATAAAAAATGTTCGATATAGCGCATGATATACTGAAGGCACGTGCTCTGAGTGACGCAGACAGCACACACGAACACGAACATGAGTGTTGTACTGCCTGTGATGAGGAGATTGTGAATAAAGAATGAATATCAGTCGAATTTAAAATAAACATTTGCATTTGAATGTTAGGAGTGTGTCGGGGAGCGTCATCAGTGGAGCGAGATGCGGTGATAATGATGTAAGTGTAGTTTCATGTTTTGTTAGTTTAGCCCACGACTAGTTCATATTCATTCAAAATATTAGAGAAATATAGAAGCTCAATGCGGAGAAGATCTTGAATGGGTTAAAACCGAAACCAAGCCATTCACACAACATATTCAGCACATTTTTTAGACGGACAAATACGACTGCTGCACTATAAAAATAACTCCAATTAAATAGCTCTTTGTTTTAAAAAAGGTTATAAAAAGTCAATAATTATCGATACCGAACGATATGAAACATTATATCGTTGATACATTTTTTTAGCTATATCGCCCA